AGGAGTGTGCCTCTTCCTACTCCTGTGGTCATGGGTCTGAGAGCCATGTCCATCCCACCCTACTCCACTTTTGTCTTCTGATCCCCAGGGTGCAGGGTGCACCCTCTGTAGCTGTGCCTTCTCTCCACAGGCCAGGAGAGCCAGAACACCGTGTGCAACTGCCATTCAGGGTTCTTTCCAAAAGAAAATGAGTGTGTCTCCTGCAGTGAGTGAGTATCGGCCAGCAGCAGGTGTTGGATGGGGGACTGAGATGAGTGGGGTGACTGTGGTTGAGAGGCCCTAGCAGAGCAAGGGAAACACTCAGAATGAACATTCTCCTATTGGCCAGCCAAGTGGGAGACACTTCATCGAGATACCAGACGACCTTCCCTCTTCCCCAAAAAATGTTCCTCAAATCTTAATCCCAGCAGCTCTGGAGGCTGAGGCAGAAGGATCACAATTTCAAAGCCAGCCTCAGCAATTTAGCAGGGCCCTAAGGAACTCAGAAAGACCCTGTATCTAAATAAAATGTAAAAGAAGGGCTGGAGATGGGGCCCAGTGGTTAAGCTCCCGAAGGGTTCAATCCCCAGTGTGTGCGCGCGCGCGCGCACACACACACACACACACACACACACACACACACACAAAAGTCTTTGGATAGAAGCTCATTCCCCCAGGACTTGCAGTCCTTCCAATTCAGGTTTTCAAACACTTGAGCAACAGGGTATATTGTTGTTTATTGATTCTAGGACATCATCTACTTTCACATTTCTGAAATCAGACTGTGCCTTACAACAATTGATGATGTATCATGATTTAATTGGCAGCTTTTGAGCATGTGCTGTGTGTGTGGTATATCAAGAATGGTATCTCTTATTATTGATGGCATCTTAGGTTTGCTATGATATGGTATTTCTGCCCCAGTCCTCTTGATAAGGCCTTCTCACTCCTGGATCCATAGATGCTGTTCTTTTCTTTCTTTCTTTTCTCAATACCCAGGAGTGCTTTACTATTGAGGTACATTCCCAGCCTTTTTTATTTTTTATTTTGAGACAGAGTCTCGATAAGTTGCCTGGGCCGGCCTTAAAACTTGCTGAGGCTGACTTTGAACTTGCAATCCTTCTGCCTCTGCCTCCCAAGTCACTGGGATTACAGTGACTTGGCACCATGCCTGACTCAGAGGTTGTTCTTGCACACTTGCTTGCTAAGAAGAAATTTTGAGGGCCTAAATCCCAGCATAGCCACTTGGAAGCTGTACAACCTTGGGCAAGTTATTAACATCTCTGAGCCTTATTTTTCTTACCTTTAAAGTAAGGATAGTGGGGCTGAGGGTGTAGATCAGTGATAGAGCACTTGCCTAGCATTGGAAGGCCCTGGTTTCTGTCCCCAGTAACATACACACATACATACACACACTTACAAAAGTGTCTGACACAAAACTATTTATTTTCTTTTTTTCAACCAAGCGTTATTCTTCTTAAGAGTTTTTACCTTCATCCCACATGGTTTTCACCATGAGCTTGTGAGGTGGGCCAAAGTGCCTTTCACTGCTGTCAGATTTCTACTAAGAACTCATGTTCTCAAGCTCCTTCTAGCTTCCCCAATGTAGTTATCACTCCACATGTGAAAATGTGCTGCTTCTATAGAGGACTCTGGCTGCCCTTAGTGAGATGTAGGGGCATCTGTGTGGGGTGCAGCAAGGTGACAACCTTCCTTTCATGTGCATGTTTGTCACCCCCACACTCAAAGCCAGGTACTATCACTGGCAATGTTATTTGAGAAATAGTGCTTTAGACCTCTTGTGTTGTCTGCATTCCATCTCTGTGACATACTACCTGAGGCAATCAACTGATAAGGAGGAAAACTTTATTTTGGCTCAGAGTTTCAGAGGTTTTAGTCGATGGTCATTTGGCTCTACTATTTCTGGTCCTGTGATAAGGCAGAACATCATGGCTGGAGTATGTGGTAGACCAAAGCTGCTTACCTCATGGAGGTTGGAAAACAGGGAAAGAAAGAAACTGGGGGCAGGGGAGAGGGGCTGTGGGCCTGTTTTAATCCAAGAGCATGTCCACAGTGACCTAACTTCCTCCCACTAGGCCCCACCTCCTAGAGGTTCCACCACCTCCCAGTAGTGCCTCAGACTGGGACCCAGCCTTCAACACATTGGGGGGACATTCCAGATCCAAACCATAGCACCTCTCTCTGCCACAATCCTACCAACAATGTATTAATAAACAATATTATATTAATATTGTATTTGCACACTCATTAATAATTACCATTTATCAAGTACTGACTATGTCAGGCTAATTAGCCCTATTGTACTGGTGAGAACACTGAAGCTTAGAGGTGAAATGACTTGCTTATTTCACAGTGATACTTAATGAATGGGCTGGAATTTATATCCTGACCTTAACTACCTTGAATTTTTTTTTTCCCATGATGGAGATGGAACCTAGGGTCTGGTGCAAATGTTCTACCATTGAACTATACCCTGGTCTTGTAACCTTGAATGCTTTTAACTTTCTCAACATAGCTTTTTCAAGATCCCTTCTAAATCTAAAATTAAATAGTTCTGTGATTAACTGTTTCATTCTTTTGCATCACTTCTCAAGATAGGTTAAATTCCATTATATTAAGAGATAGCAAAAATGATTTGTAAAGCAAAGCATTTCCAACATTCTTTGTGTTCCTCTTGYTGTAGAGTCTCTTTTCACCAGTGCTGTCTCTTCTTTTAGATGTAAGAATACCCCAGACTGCATGAATTCGTGTCCACCCTTATCTGAAAATGTTCAGAACCCTCTGGACTCAGGTAAGGAGAAGCCATATTGTGCCCATGTTCACCTGGCCTCCTGCCACCCCATGCATCCCTGGCTGTTCCCCCTCCCCTCCCCATTTACTGTGATCTGCTTTTTCTTCAGGTACTACAGTGCTGTTGCCCCTGGTGATCCTCTTTGGTCTTTGTCTTTTTTCTTTACTCCTCATTGGTTTAATGTGCCGCTACCCGCGGTGGAAGTCCAAACTCTACTCCATTGGTGAGTAGTGCCTTTGGGAAGGGAAAGAGTGTTTGGTGGAGATGTAGGAGATTAGATGGGTAAGATGGAGGGATATGAGAGGAAGTGTCCTTTTAGTTTGCTGCTGAGGACTCCAAGCTGGAGGTGGTCCTGGATGGCTGGTGGGAGGTAACGTGGCATCAGTAGTTCTCTAGTCCCCAGGGCCACATAGGCCCTGAGGCGTGTCACCGCAAGTTCCCATGGCCAGTCCCAGTGCTGGTTGCCAGGGCTGAGAGGGGAAGTGAAATTTATGATGGTTTCTCTCTCTCTCCCTCTCTCTCTCTCTCTCTCTCTCTCTCTCTCTCTCTCTTCTCAGTTTGTGGAAAACCAACTCCAATAAAAGAGGTGAGATGAAACCTGGGACCTACCCCAAACTTCCCTGACTATTCCTCATAATTTTGGAATACCCAAATATCTTTCACCATATGGGCTCTAGTAGAAATCCCATTTATCCCCAGACCCTCCAGAATAAAGAAGTTTGAGTTCTTTTCTCTTCTCTTTCATTAATGCTGTGCCTTCTCTCTTTCAGGGGGAACTTGAAGGAATTCCTACCAAGCACCAAGACTCAGGCTCCAGTCCCTTCCTCAGCCCCACCCAACCCTCCTGCCCCACTGATTGGTCCAACTTCAGGGCTGTGTCACCTCTGAGGGAGGTGACCGCAACCCACCAAGGGGCTGACCCCATCCTCACCATGCCCGTCACCTCCACGCCCATCGTCACCCAGGTTCAGAAGTGGGAGGACACCGCCGGCATGCAGCGCCCTGATGGTGAGTTTGGAGGGAGCAAAGCTAGGTGGAGGGTGCCAGGGAAGGGCCGCCAGTGGAGGTTCATTGTCTTTATCCTCTGTAGCCGACCCTGCGACGCTGTATGCAGTGGTGGATGGAGTGCCCCCGTCGCGCTGGAAGGAGTTGGTGCGGCGTCTGGGACTGGGTGAGCACGAGATCGAGAGGCTGGAGCTGCAGAACGGGCGTTGCCTGCGCGAGGCGCACTACAGCATGCTGGCTGCATGGCGGCAGCGCACACCACGACACAAGGCCACTCTGGACCTGCTGGGCCAAGTGCTCCGCGACATGGACCTGCTCGGCTGTCTGGAGGACATAGAGGAGGCGCTGCGTAGCTCCTCCTCCTTCTCGCCCACACCCAGCCTCCTCCGATGAGGCCACGCCCCCGCCTCAGGGAAGAACACTGTCCTTGTGACCGCTGCTTCCAACTCGCGCTTCCTGCAGGGATGATCTTGCGACATGCCCCCTGGACCTTGTTTTTCTGGAGAGAAAGGGCCTTGGAGGGAAAGGCGAGAGCCGGCAGCCGTCAGCCGGAGTCACTTACTCGGTGCTACCCGCTCCGTGTATATAGCTTTTCTCAGCTTGGCTGAGAGTTTCCAGAGCCCAAAGAGTGGTTTCTGGATAGGTGCACCGTGTCTCATGCCTGTTTTGGGTGTGGGGGACCCAGCAAGACTGCCTAGGGGCTCCTGGTTGGTCCTGGGCCCTTTTTCACAATAGATAAGCAATCTTTGAATCAATTATATCACACTAATGGAAACTTGGCACCATTTGCCCCCTGTCTGGGCAAGCACAGAGTAAGCTGATTTGTCCCAAAGCAGGGGCAAGCACAGAACAATGGGACTTCCAGCTGGAGCTGTGGACTTTTGTAAATACACTAAAACTGGGCAATTAAACCTCTGTGCCTGGAGGAGTGGTCATTCAGTGTGAGAGGCTGGGGCAGAGACCACAAATCTGAGCGGTGCAATGGTCCTGACTAGGGCCAGCAGTCCACTGCCATCATGCTAGCTGACAGAGGAGAAGGCTGGGCTTATTGTGATTCCCCTTCCCAAGTTTTCGTTCTTCTCCTACTGATCTAGCACAGACCAAGCAGTCATTTTTGTGTACAACTTTTATGTGGGGCTCATAGGTGTCTATGATACATAAATTTACAGTTCTTGACCCTCGAAGTCCAAAGAGCAAGAGGCAGTGTGGTCCTTGAGGTAGAGTCCAGGATGGGGGGGTGGTGACCAGCACTCTTGGGGAGATAGTTCTTCTGGGAGAAAGGTCAAAGGGCCTTGGCATTTCTCATACCTCTCTGAAAAGGAAGGAGGTAGATGTTAGGTCAATGGCAATGGGAGAGTGAGGGTCAGGCATGAGGTGAAGGAGGAGGCTGGGGTCCTGCCCTGCCTTGGTCTCTGCTCTGCACTGCCCTCTTTCTATCCTGCCACCCTGCCTCCCCCAACTCCATATTGCCCTTCTTCCCTCCCATGCCAGCTTCCCTTTAGTACTTACGAAGTGGACAGGGGGGTGTCCAGCTTTATGATGTGATGCCCACGCATCCTCTGCAGCTGGGCCAGAGTCAGCTTCCGAGGTCTGCTGTCCCTAGGCTCTGGGGCTCCCTCAATCCTTTGGCTGGCCAACTCCTCTCGAATCTCCCTGAGCATGTCCTCAGCCCGGAGTGGGCGGGAGCAGGGGCTGTAGCCAGGGCCTAGGAAGAGAAGCCCCTCATCTTCCTCTGAGGACTCCCAGGGGCTTTCTCCAGCAGAGTCAGTATGGTTCGGGGAGGAAGGGAGCTGCCCCCGAAGTTGGGCTCTGTGCAGGGTTTCTGCCACCACGTTCCTTCCTGCTGAGGACCCATCTTCCTCCTCTGACCAGGTAGGTGGGTCTACCCTCGGAAGACTGCCCCCTCTTTGGATCCCTTCTGGCAGTTCAGGGGCACTTCGGCGTTGGGGCGCTTGGGGGTCAGCTGGCTGGGGGCGCAAAGGAACATTTCGAAGATCCAGGTTGGAGAAGGTAAGCCGAGGGTCCCGCTTAAGAGCCCTGGGGCGCAGACGGCTTAGCCGAGAGTGGGATGCCTTGGGGGAGCTTGACATCAAAGTGCCATAGCCAGAGTCTGAGGTATCATCTGGTACAGAGGGAGCATCTTCATCTGTATCTTCAGTCACCACAAGGTGGGGGATGATGACAGTGAACTCAGGAGTCCTACAATGAATAACAAATGGTCAGACTCAGATACTTAGGGGTCAAGTTCATGCCTAGATGTCTCTCTGGATTACTCCATCCAGAAAGGGCTCCTTCTCCGAACTTATCTCCTTATTTCCCTTACATGGCTCGGATTGTTTTTCTCATCCCACCAGCTACACCTGTGCACTCTAAAATAGCTTGCGCTGCCTCTAAGCCATTTTATCCATAGAACCTGGTCTAGGACCTTGTATAAACAGGTGGTCAGAGTGGATCTATAGGGGGTTACTCAATTATGCCCCGATGATGGGTTCTTCTTTTCTCCATAAGCATGTTGCTAAGCAGCTGTGTTGTCCTGGATGAACGTCTTACACTCTGGGGATTGGACTTGCCGCAACCCTACAGTTCTGATATTCTGCATACCCATACCCACCTGCTCATTCTGAAGCCTGCTCCTTGCAGGGAGTTCATGTGTCATATTTCTGTTTTCTTTACTCTGTGCCCATCATAGGCTCACCCTAGGCTGGCTGACCCTTACAGCCTGTCCCATGCATTCCTTCACACGGCTGGCACCAACCTACTCTATTCCAGCTTGTAGCCTGTGTTTCTCTATTCTTGTAGTTCCCTAAGGTCGTACTATCACTTCTCAACCTTTTGGATTTCTCCTCTTCCCTTCTTTGCCAGTGATCCCCTTCTTTGTTGGTGCTTGTAGGTCTTACCTCCCCTCAGCACTGCTTTGAGAGCCCTCTGGGGAAGGCGTGGAGGGCCTGGTGCTGGGGGACTCCCTGCCTTGGTCCCGGTAGAGGGCCAGGAGCTCCCTCTTCTGTTGGACGTACTCCTCTGCCTTCAGTTTCTGCAGGGCAGCCTGGTGGGGGTGGGGAGGACTTCATTATTAAGAATTCTAATTTACTGAGCACTTGCTGTATGCTGGGCACTGTGTAAGTGCTTTCCATACATTATCTAGTTTAACCCTCACAATACCTCTCTGAGGCAAATATGTTTACCCCTACCTTAGTAGTGAGAAACGGAGTCTGGAAGGTTAAGTAACTGTTGAGGGATAGTTTTTGAGTAAGAAAGCAGGGTGGTGACTGGGTTCGGTGGCACCAAACTCTAGAGCTGGTGCTTGGGAAGAGTGAGAGGAACAGAATGGCCTTTTCCACCTGTATACTCCCTGCTTCTCATGACCCTTTGGTAGACTCTCAGATGTGCACCCTCCTTCAGGCTGATTGGGGTATTGGTGACATAAGTGCTCTGAATGTTATCAGCTTCAAGTTGCTCTTTGAGAGCATCCTTCTCCCCCCACTTCTCTTCCCTGAAGCTGGAAGGTGCAAAAGGCAGAGGGTGGGTAGGAGCAGGATTTGTCCTAGGCTGCAAACTCTGCTGCCCTTTAGAGGGGAAAGCAAGACTGTCTTTGGAAGGATGAGAAGAGGATACATTATATGGTCGGCCTGCCTTCCTTGTTTTTATACAGCTGCATCAGAATAAAATAGTGACATCTGAGAAGTAATTTACAAAGTACCTCCACATGCAAGTTGTCATTTGCTTACACACCACCACTCTGCAGGGTGCAAGACAGTTGCAGTGACTTGCTCAAGGTTGCACAGGTACAGAGGAGCAGAGCTGGCCAGGGCCACTCTCTTTAAGTCCAAGTTCAGTAACTGCATAGATTTTCAAGGGCAGCCTTGAAAGGTCAAGAGTTACTTAAAGATGCTAGCTTGGGGAGAAGACAACAGAACCTGGGGAGAGGTTGTAGGTGGAGACTTAGCAAGAGGTGGGTAGAGGTGGCTACTGTGGGCTGCACTGAGATCAGTACTTACTTGCATGTTGTTAAAACTCTGAAGCACTTCCTCAGAGCTGGCAAGGAAATGCTGCAGCCCAAGCTCCACCCTCCACCTCCTCCAAGCACAACAGGGACCTTTAGTACTAACCCCCACTCCCACAGCTTCACACCCCCTCCACGATGCTCCATTAAGATTCTCTGATTCCTTATTAGTTGTTCCATATTTTTAGTTTCTCCCCAGCTTGAGTTAGAGGAGCCAGCAACTTTTGGGCTTTTCCAAAGCTTCTCCAGAAATACTGGGGGCAGCTGCGTCAGGACAAGAGGCATGTTGGAGAAATGATGAACAGGGATAGGAAAGTGAAATTAGGCTGATATCTCTAATTCTTTCCCTGGCTCTCTAGTCACTCAGCCAGAACATAGGATGGTGTTTGGGGGCAGGAAACTAACACACCAAGGCCAAGTCCTGTGACCACCCCCTCTTCTCCCGGCCTCATTTCCCAACTCAGTGTGGGTTGAGAGAAGGAATGAGAAAAAGGAGAGTGGAAGGGCTGTGGCAGCCTGCTTATCCTGATGGGATGCAATGCCCTTTTGCCCCATGTTCAAGTTTGTGTTTGGAATGCCCAGGATAGGGATGCAGTGTGGAAGGAAAGAATGGGAAAGGAGAGGGGGTGTCTGTAAGGAACATCAAATGCAAGCATCTCCACTACCCTTGCCTCTTGCCCTTCCTAGGAAGCAGTGGGAAGGTGGGGGAAACCTTGAGTGTCAGGCCCAGGACTACCAGCTACCTCAAAACCTCTCCAGAAGCCCTGGGAGGCTTTTCTCAGTTTGGGTAAGAGGAGAGAATGGAAGGGCAGTGTAGGAAAGGAAGAGAAAACTGGTAGTCGAGCTGGAAGGTGACATCCTCACACAGCTGGGAAAAGGAAGGAAGAGCCCCCAGCAGGATTCATCTTTCTTTGTCCATGGCGAGGCCTGGAGAGGCAATGCTTCTCCTCCCTGAAGTTTCAGGGTGGCTCCAGATTCACCGTTCCCTTCCTGGAGCTCCCTGACACTGGCCTAAATGGGTCACCAGAAGRTCCTTGCTGACTTCCTAAGTGACAGATGTGAATGTGTTTCCCCAGCCCTGGCACCACTGCTCACCCCTTTCTTCTAAAGAGGACAATGACAGACATTCATGAAGTGCCCATGAAGTGCAGGGTCTTGTGCCAGGCCCTTTAGACAATTTTCCATCTACCCCATGTGGTAGTTTCCATTATTACTGTGGTTCTCCAGATGAGGGCCAGGTGGGCTAACTTACCTAAGAACACARGTAGCTACCAGTCGCGGCTGCAGGCTCTGGATTCTCTTTGGACCCTGACTCTTCCCCTCAGCTGCCTTCTTCAGTCTGCCCTGCTTTTATTTCCTGCTTTCATCTTTGACAGCACTTTCTGTTCCCTTTATTGGTTCCTTTTCCTCTTCCCAACAGCTAAATATGGGCATCTATCAGATTCAGTCTCTACCCAGTTGACAAGCTCATTTTCTCTAAAAGTATAAGCCGCTTCTACTAGGCCCACTAGGGCCTTCCTCTAGGAAGAAACCTCAATATTTCTGCAAGGGGGAAGTAAAAAGGCAGATCCCTGGGGTTGCTTGATGAAGGGGACCAGTAGATGTTCTACTACCCTCTTCCATTTTGAAACTTATGTTAGCTGGGCTTGGTAATGTCACCTGTAATCCCAGCTACTCAGGAGGCTGAGGCAGGAGGAGTGCAAGTTTGAGACCAGCCTCAGCAATTTAGGGAGAACCTGTCTCAAAATAAAACAAAAAGGGCTGTGGATGTAGTCCAGTGGAGGAGCACTCCCTGGGTTCAATCTCTAATACCTTAAAATATTGATGTTAATTGAGAAAAAAAAAGAATTGGATATGAAATAACAGCAGCAAAACTAAGTATAATGTTGCTTGTTTCTTTGGTTCCTTAAGGGAGGTGGGGAGCCTCAGTATACAGTTTGGTCATAGGTCAGAACTAATCTATCTCTCAACTTAAAAGAGTGTGACTGCCAGGGGCTAGATAGTTTTGTATATGAATAACAACAATTTTTAGTGGTCCCTAGGGATGCTAGAGGAAGAAGGAGCGGGAGGGGTTGTCATAAGACTGGAAAGCAAATGAAGAGAAGAAAGTTCTGAAGAGGAGGGTGGCAAAGAAAAAAGTCTCCCTGCCAGTAATGGTCACCTCTGCCTGCTGTTCTGGGGATGCTTGCTTCCAGTTTCTCCCATAGCTCCCCTAGAATGGTATCCTTTAGCCTTTGGGAAAGCTTCATTAACTACTAGAATGGGGTCAGTTGCCAATCAGTCCAATGCCTGGAACCTGTGTTTAGGACTGGTAAGAAGTGGTATAGAGAGATCCTGCCATGCAGAAAGGGGATYATGGGAGCAGGGGCCAGGGCAGATGGGAGACTACCCTTGCTCCCAAAGCCATGTGCTTCCACTGCTCCAGTCCCCTACCTTTAACCTCCTGGGGCTTGTCCCCATGTCATTCAGGTATTCAAGAAAATTGTAGCCCCATGGATCTGGAGGACACAAAATATTTCACCCTAATTTCTCACCTGAATTTTAGGCCCATGTTTCCATATTTCCAAAAGCCCCTAAAATACTCCCATTTGACTATCTCCCACTGCCTCAATTTTAAAGTAAATAGTAGCACCCAGGACTGGGGGTGCAGTCAGCACTTGCTTAGCATTCTTGAAGCCCTGGGTTCAATTTTCAACACCACCAAATAAATAAACAGAATATCACCACCCGTCCCACTCCTTCTAGGAAGTAACAACTAGACAAATAGGCTTCTCTTTCTAATGGTTCCACTCATCAGGGGTCCCCTTGCCAAAGCAGTCCTTCAAACAGAAGCTTCAGAAGGCCATCATTATCTTTGTACTTGAGTCCTGGAGTTACTCTTACCATTTGCTCACATCAAACCTGTGCTCTAGACTTAGACACATGTGGTTACTGTTCCAAAAGCAAATTCAGCCCCTTTGCTCAGGATCTTGCCCAGGGTCTTCTGATTCTTCTGTTCAGGTTCTTGCCCAACCTTAAAAATTCAACTCCAGGGCTGTGGAGGTAGCTCAGCTGTACAGCCCTTCCTAGCATTCAGGAGGCCCTGGGTTCTATCCACAGCATCACAAAAGAAAACAAAACACAAAAAACTAGCCAACCAACTAAACAAAAAAGTCCAACTCAAAGTTTCACCTCTCTTTGCCCATTCTGTTCCTGTGGTGGGCTGGCAAGCAGTCCCCACCGCCCCCCCCCAAAATAAGACTGAATCCCCAGAATCTATAAATGTGACTTTATCTGGAAAAAGGGTCTTTGCAGATGTGCAATTTTAAGAATTTTAAGAGAAAATATCAGATTTCAGATGTATTCTAAATCTAATGCCTGGTGTCTTAATAAAAGAAAGGAATGGGTATTTGGACATAGATATACAGAGAAGAAGGTCATGTACAGACCGAGGCAGAAACTGGAGCCAAGAACCACATGGAACTCACCAGAAATTGGAAGAGGCACAGATTGTCCCCTAGAGTCTGGTCAGAAAGCTCTGTCCTGCCAACAATTTGATTTCCTACTTCTATCCCCAGAACTGTGAGAAAAGCAGTTTCTGTTTTAATTTATTTATTTGTGGTAATGGGGATTAAACCCAGGGCCTCATGCATGCTAGGCAAAGGCTCTACCACTTAACTTCTTCCTCAGCCTTCTTTTTTTTTTTTTTTAGTTTTGAGTCAGGGTTTTACAAATTGCCCAGACTGGCCTTGAACTTGTGATCCTCCTGTTTCCTTTGCTAATCCTTCCTTTTTTTTTTTTTTTTTTTATGGTGTTAGGAATGGAACCCAGGGCCCTGAGCATGCTAGGCAAGTGAGCAAAACTCCCATCCCAGTTTCTGTTTTAAGCCACCAAATTTGTGGTAACTAATGTAAACTTTATTGAGATCTCCCTTTATCCAAACTCCTGCTTTTATCACATACATCTGTCCATGTCACTACCCTGCTTAACACATTGACTGATCCCATGTTTTCTATAGGGCAAAGTTCAAGTTCTTAGCATGATGTGCAGAGATGGGCATGATCTGGTGGCACCTTCCTCCTAGCCTCTCTACTAATGCGTTTCCCTTTGTACTTTAGAACTTTGTACTTGCAATGCTAAGCTACCAGACCAGTGGTTCTCCCGACATGCATGACTTTTATTTCTATCCTTTTGCTTCTCCATTTGGAATGTTCTTCCTTCTCATCCTTGTTCCCCTAACATCTTCCAAGTCTCTCCCAAATGGTCTGTCATTTCTGTCATGGCTTCTCAGCCTCCCCTCTCCCTTTCCCAGCAGAYCTGCCCTCTCCTAGCTCTCTTCTGTGTGCATGTTCTATCATTTGTCCGCTAATTACTCCAACTGGGCTGAAGTTCAGACTTCTTGAGGGCAGGAATGGTGTTTTATTTATTTTTTAAAATTTCCTGCACTTAGCGTGGTGCCTGTACCCAGCAAGTACTCCATAAGGATGGGAATGGGAGAAGAAGTTTAAGTTAATTGTTGCAAAAAAAACCAAAGTTAATTGGTGCCCAGCACAGTAGCACAAACCTGTAATCTCATCAGCTCAGGAGGCTGTGAGTTCAAAGCCAGCCTCAGCACTACTTAGCAAGGCCCTAARCAACTCAGTGAGACCCTGACTCTAAATAAAATATAAAAAAGGGGATGAGGATGTGGCTCAGTGGCTAAGTGTCACTGGGTCCAATCCCTGGTACCCCCCCTAAAAAAAATAAGCTAATTGTTTCAGGGCATGCAAGCCACCCTACTATGTCCTGGGCTTTCTCAGTGGCTGTCCTGGTAGCTGGTCACAGTCTTTCTTAAGAATGATCAGTGCTCTGTCCCCCTCTGAGGGCACCTGAGTGGCTGGGGGTGAACCCACATCCAGCTGAGGCTTTCTCTTCCTTCCCTCTGTGGCCTCATTCCTGGGCTCCAAAGACATCTGTCCACCCCTCCCCATGACTGGCTTTCACCTACCTGGGCTTGCTGGGTCTTTTCCAGCCACCTTGCACGATCTGTGGAACTGGGACAATGTACAACGAGGGCACTTGAGACACACTGGAATTCAGTAAGGTGGATCACCAGGAAGCTGTCTGGGTGGAGGAGAAGGTTGGCTTTAAGGGTTTTATTTGACCTATATGCCAACCCTTCCCTACCTCTCCAAGAAGAAGGGGGAAGGAAAATTTTTCCAGCAGAAGAGACATACTGGGATCTCGCAATGGTCGGCACACAAGCTTCTCCAGCATAAGAGGGGGGCGGATGACCTTGGCTTTGTCCACTTTACGTTGGGGCTTGGTCACCAGGAGCACATCAGAGAAGAGGAACAGGTACACATCCAGCTGCAGTGGGGACATAGGGGAAAGAGACAGGTCAGCTGGAGCATGGGCAAGGTCTGGTCAGGGATCTGGGCTCAGGCATGTGTGCACAGGAACTAGTGCAGACCGTGGAATGCCAGAGCTGGAAGAGCATCAGTTTGCCCATTTCTCATTTTATAGGCAGGGAGAAGGGCTGGTTCAAGGGCAAACAAACAACCAGAGTTTAGCCAGAATCGTGTTTTCTCCCCAGTGTGCATGTGTGTACACACACACACACACACACCAATTTCCCCATTTCCAGTTTTTTTTTTTTTTTTTGCCTCCCACCCTGACTTCCTTCCCTGTAGTTTATCTCCCATCTCTTTACTCTTGGCCCACAGCTCCCTCACCTTCCCTTCTCGTCCCTCCTTCACTCTCACAGGTCCCTCCAGCAGCAGCTGCCTGGTGTGCTCAGGGCCAACCCCCAGCATGGGGGACATAAGGTCCAGGGTGCAGAATGGACGCAAGTTCTGAGGGACACAAAGAGGAGGGTATCAGGGCACCCGGCAGGCATGTCTCTACATCCCAACCAAGATGGCTTCTTGTTCCTCCGCCAGCACCCTCTCTCTCTATCCTTTCCCACTTGGAGCCAGAGCAAGCACCCCAGAGTCTCTGTTTTATTTTTTTGAACTTTGCCCCTTGGACCCTCACCACTGAGAAGGAATGATGGGCACACCCTTGGTGGCACTCAAGTGCAGGGTGTTCTGACCTCTGTCCCTTCCTTGCCTGGCTTCTCCTTCATCCATTTTCCCTGGGACCTTACATTTTCTGAGCCACCTTCCCTCTGCCCTCTTACCTTTTCCACTTCCTCGCTGGATGCCTCTAATACCTCGTAGTTCCCAATGCGCTGAGCTGCAGCCACCAAACTCTCCTGCTCTTCGCCTTGGCGGACCTGACCATTGATGTGTCGAAGGAACGACTCCACAGCTGCAATCTCAGTGGGGAGTGGGGGTGCAGAAGGAGGTGTAGCTCAGCTCAGCTCAGTCCTGTATTCTGCACAGCCCACCCATCCAATGACAACCACAGCATTCCAACACAGCCCAATGAGTGGGTGTCACACGAGGAACAAGACCCTCAAGAGTGCATGGAAATCAGTTCCCACCTAGCCGTCCCCAAACCTGTGGTTCCCGAATCCACCTGAACACCTACCATAGCATCCAGGGCCTCTCGGGCTCGGGCCTCGGGGCTCCTTTTGAGCACAGCCTGCAGCAGCAGTGGGTACTTGGTGATGCGCTGGTGGGGCTTGATAAGTAAGTCGCCCAGCATCTGCCTCCCTGAGCGCTTGTGCTTCTCACACCACTGCCAGGGRAGGTGAGTGGGGGCTCAGGAGTTTGCAAGAAATCTCCCACCCACCCTTGCGACTAACTCAGCCTTGGACCCAGCTGGAGACTGGGGATGACTTGGCTGTCTAATCCCACCCCTCCCCCTTCAGGCACCACCTCTCCCACCTGCACGAAGGTGTGGAAGAGAAGGTTAGTGTCTTGCTGCTCCCGGGCGTAAGCCATGATCTGCTTCACTCTCAGGCAGTACTGGACGTAGGGCTGGAACCACTGGCCAAACTGGAAGGACAGATGTAGGGTCAGGGAGCAGGCAGGTGGAAGAAGGTCATAAATACAGACTCTGTCTGCAGAACAAGGGAGCAGGGTGCTGGGAGATCCTCATGTAGCCCCTTCATGAAGTTCCTGCCAGTCTCCATCTCCACRTTTGCTCTCATGGCCAGGTCCTTCTCTCAGTCCAAGCAGGAGCTGAAGCCCAGAGAAATGGACCACACCTTAGAGCTCCTGTCCACAGGGCCTGCTGTGCCCTGCTCCTCTGGACTTATTCTCCCACCATCAATAATTCAGCTAGACTGTTTCAGGACACTTTAGCTCCTATTTCTGTGAACTGCAGGTTGCCCAGAAGTCTTGTTCCTATGGAAGGGGGTGTCCAAAGCACTCAGGAAACCACCACCCTACCACTGTAACCCCTGGCAACATTCTTCTGCAGGGCCTACATTTATTTCAATTGGGTAGCACAATAGAAGAAAGACCCCCCCCCCCTCCCGCAGCTCCTACACACATTTTTACTTTCTTTTTTTTCTTTCTTGGTACAGGGAATTGAACCCAAAGGCTCTTTACCACTGAGCTACATCCCCAACACTTTTTAGTTTTGATTTTGAGACAAGATTTCACTAAGTTCTGTGTCCCCCAGATGCTGGCCTCAAGCTTGCAATCCTCCTGTCTCAGCCCCCCGTGTTGATAGGATTACAGATGTGCACCACTGTGCCCAGCACTTAGGCTCCATTCTTGTACCCAATGATTTGTTGATGGATCTCTGTCTGAGATCTAAGATTTTATAGTTGACAAGCCTGTAGGTGTAACTCTTCCCTGAGAAAGCTGCATTTTCATTTCATAAGGRCCTGTAGATAACTTATGGAATGGAGTTCAGCAGGGAATGATATCTGGGGATAAGGACTGTGCCCCGTGGGCCCCTCGAACCACAGAGAGATTTGAATCCTATGGGCAGCACCCTCTGGGCTCTCCCAGTCCTACCCTCTCCAGGCTTCATCGGGCCTTACCGTCAGAAAGCCATTTTGTAGCCTGATGGGATCCAGAGGCTGGCCTGAGACCCGAGTTTCCTCCAGGAAGGGTTCTAGCACCTCTTCCCAAAACTTCCGATGGGCTCGAATCAGGCTAGGGACATTTCCAAACAGGGTCTCAGCTGACACCTGGAGGAAGGAGCAGAACTCTCAGCAACAGGCCTTTGGCGGGTCACTCTCAGGCAGCATTGGCAGGGTCAGGTGAGGCCCCCGACCTTGGGTAATGGGGAGTGAGGGAGGGGTGCGCCAGACTGTGAGCCTAGAAGATTTAAGGGGCTCCAGCTGTCTTTTCTAGTCTGTGGCACTTCAGCCTCAGTGGGTTTTAGGCCTGACAAATTGGGGGACCTGTGGCCTGCTGTAGGTCTAGAGAAAACAGGGAGTATGGAGGGCAGGGGTGTCCCAGAAAATGAGGCAGTGGGGATTTGGACTGGGCAGCCTAATGTGTTCCATGAGCCCGTCCCCGCCCTCACCCACCAGTTCCCACTCACCTCCATCAGCAGTCCCACTCTCTGCAAGTTCAGCAGACCAGCAGCTAGGAGCTGGATGCAGGAAGAGGGACAAGGATCTCAGCACCTCGTCTCCCTCCTCTCTAAGCCCCAGCCTAGTTCTTCAGGGTCACCTCCACCCCCACTAACTTTGACCTTTCTTCCCCTCATCCTACGCGGGTCTGCAGTCAGGAGGATCTCTTGGAATCCTGCCCCTCCAGTGACCTGTCCCTTCAGATWTGAGAGGATGGGGATAACGCAAGGGAGATGGGTAGACGGGTGGAGATGGGACTGTGGCTGGGGCTGAGGGACTCACATCGGTCATGATCTTGAGTTTTCTCACGTAGATCAGCTCAGTAGTGAGGAGCTCCCACAGAGCTTCTTGCTGGTGGCACTGCTCCCGACTCATCTCCTGGGTGAGGACAGTGCTGGTTCRGTTAGGGAATGATAAGAACAGCAGGTGCTATTTATGAAGTGCTACTGGATCCACTTCACAGGTTCTGAGCAATCTATACATGACCTTTTAATTCTAAACCAGTCCTCCAATATGTAWAGTGGCATTATCCCCATTTTACATATGATGCTACAGAGGCTCCGAGAGGTCCTCTGTCCTGACCAAAGTCTCACTAGTAAGTGGCAGAGGGCTTCGAATGACAAGTTGTCTTTAAATGCTCTTCCCTCCTGGCCCTCTATCCCAAGGCTTGAAGGTCATCCCTATTCCCTCCTCTAGGGAAGAAGTGAGATGTGTGCATATGTGTATGTTGGAGGGTGTCTTTCTTTCTGTTTGTCATACTATCGGGRCAGACATTATCTCAAACTTACCTTGTGCCCAGGCACCAGCTCTCTCCAGGACTTCTCGATGGTCACACCACTGTCRCCACCCTCTCCTATCTCCCAGTACTGTCGGTCCTCAGGGGGCAAGCGGGGCATCCCGAACATGCTGAACGTGTGGAGCCTCAACTCTAGCTCATGGGCCTTGGTAACTTCCTAGGAGAGCCGAGAAGGGGAACATTTGGCTTCATTCTCAGCACCCAGCCTGCTTGGCTCTGGGAGGGCAATGAGTACATGTGTGTGTCCGCTATGGGAGGTGGCAAGCAGCTCTGAGTATGAGTGGGAACACAGAGGCCTGGAGGGACAGGGATCACCCTGATTGGAATGGGGAATGGGTGTTACTGGAAAGTAACTGGAGAGGTGCCTTGGTTTGCAGAAAGATCCCTGGACTGGGAGGTCTGATCAGGGCACCCTAACCAGAAAGATACCTTCTAGGAGTCTCCTGATTCAGAACAGGGGTATAGGGGCAGGATTATACTCTTCAGAGGAGCCTTCAAGTGGAGACCAGAATATGGCTTAAGGAATCAGTAGTCTCAGCTAACATTTTGACATTTGCTCATAAAATGGACATTTTTAAGAAAAAACATGACTTAAATTTTACAATTGTTTTTGGTACCAAATAATGTAGGCAACAGATATTGCTGACCTTCACTCTATCTGCAGTGTGGCTTGGGAGGAGAGGGGCGAGGCTCACAGCTGGGGTGAGGGATACTGTAAGACCTGGTAAATTCTGCAAACAGAAATTTGAATATTAATAGTTTATACTTCAAGTTATATCAAAATGTCTTGAGTCAAAGTCACTTGGTCTAATGCATGGGCCAAGTAGAAAAATATTCCAGAAATAGTCTCTGGATAGAGCTGTGTCTGATTTCTTCTTCTTCTTCTTTTTTTTTTTTTTTTTTATTTTGAGACAGTCTTGCTAAGTTGCCCAGGTTAGACTTAAACTTGCAGAACCTCCTGCCTCAGCATTTGAGTTGCTGGGATTACAGGTATGTGCCACTGTACCATGCCGGTGTCTGATTTCTTGGAGGGGTGCCAGGCAGAAGCCCCCTAAGCCAGTGCTCTCAGCACCAGGGGCTAGCTGAGCCTGATTATCTGTGGATGCCTTTGCAGTTGGGGCTATAAGCATGGGAATGGGAGCAAAGGGACCCCTTACCTTGAGTTTCGGGGAGTGAGGTGGGCCAGGTCCCAAATGACCTCCATGCTTCTTCTCGAGCTCTTGTTCTCGCAACATCAAGGGAGACAGGCCTCGGGAAGGGCCAGAACCCTTGACAAAGGGGACATAGTGCGGGAAGCGACGGCGGCTGGGATCCTGGGGGAGGAGCAGGGGAATTCTGGGGGTGCCGGAAGTACCAGAGAGGCAGGGGTGGGGTTTGGCTCTAGGCATCATCCCCCAACTCTACAAGTTGGGTTGGCTCATCACTCCCCTCAAACCAGTTTGGTGTGGGCTGCTGCTGCACTGAGTCACCAGGGAGACCAAGCTGTGTTGGGCAGGGACATGTCAACCTGACTCCTTGAGTGGGCCTCAGGGCAGAAGCAGGGGGCCTCTTCCAGAGTAGGCACAGAGGCACATGCATATGCCCAGGCTCTGGAGTGTGTGCCCCTGTGTCTGCCTGTTTATATGCATGTTCTCTGCAGGGACAACATAGTGCATGCTGCATCCTGAGTTCCTCATGACCTCCCTTGTTTGTGGCCAGCCTCCTTCACATGTGAGGATGATAGCTCACGCATGTGGGCCTCCTCCCTGGGGGCATGTAGCCCATGTCCTCTCCTGCTGGGAGCGGCTCTTTCTGTGTAAGAGGTTGAGACTGTAGCCACAAGTCTCCTCCCAGGGCAGGCCTGGTCACATTCCTTGATCTGCCTGTGGCCTGAATTTTACCCCACGTACTTCCTAATGTCCCTTCCTGCCCTCAGCCTGGGAGAATCCCCATCTCCAAGGGCCAAATCGTCCTCCAGAGAGGCAGAGGATATCCCCAGTCAGAAGAAGAAGAGTTCTCAAGGTGGAGGGGAAGCCTTGAGCTGAGGGACAGCAGGAGCTCYGGCTTCCTCACCTGCTTCCTGGACCAGGCTTGGAGGTGGGCCAGGCAGGTGGAGCCAGGAGTGGAGCCAGGGTAGGTCTCCACACCCTCMCCCTTTGGGAGAGCAGGGACACCCTGAACCTTTGCTCTTCCTCAGTCCTGACTCACAGGGAGGCAAGCCTCAGGGAGCCCTCTGACTCCTCCCAAGTGGAGGCAGGAGACTGGGAGGTACCATTCCCACAACTCTAAGCCTCAGACCTGTCTTACAGCACCTCCTCTGTGAGCCTGGCTTCTCCTGGCTTTCTGCCTTTCTCTAGGACTGGGGTGTGAAGTACTGGGAACTGAGCCCAGGTACTGCCCTCCTCTCCYCCGCAGCCTGGGGAAGAAGAGGAGGGTGAAGGACAAGAATAGAGCAGCCTATGAACTGTAAGGGGATAGTGACTTCAAAGCCTGGGTGTCCTCCCTCCTGCCCCACCCAGGTCACCCTCAGGGCACAGCCTAGACTCACCAGTACAGGGCTTCCTCGAGAATAGAGACCGCCAGCAGGGCTTGCCTGACGCCGGCCCCCATAAGTCTCAATGCGGGAGGCCACGAGGCCCTGGAGGGGACTCTCATCTGGAGGACTAAAGCCCTGCATCCCTTCTCTTCTGGGTCACCTCCAAAGGGTCATAGCTCCATGGTCCAGGAGAAGGGGGGTCCCCTCAGGCTATAAGAGAGAAGAGAAAGGAATGAAAGGTCCAGGTTATATCAGAGGGTAGCATCAGCTTAGAGACCAAGGAGAAGGGCAAGAAGATGGAGTACAAGGGACAAGATCAAGGCTTGATCACTTATTGGCAGGTGGGAGTGAGGCGGGTGATGGCTGCCTCATGGTGGGGATAGGATAGGCCAGGCACATGCTGGGTAGAAAGCCCTTTGGAGATAAACATTCTCCCTCATATGTATGCACATTTAGGTACAAGCTCTCACATTGGCCTCAAAGGATGCTGTGGTTCAAAGAGTAGCTGGGAGCAAGGGCCACARCCAAGTCCCTGTGTTCTGGATGCCCCCAGTGGAAGGATTACCCTTACGCTTAGATACATGTCCTCTTCCCCATAAGTAGCCTGGTAGCAGATGCAGGGAGGCCATGGGTAAGGTGGGCTGGGGGTGGCCAGAGACTGTTCAGCCTGCCATCATTTTAGTGCAGTCTGTGAGCTAAGAATGTTACATTTTTAAATAGTTGAAAAAGTCAAAAGAAAAATACCATTTTGGCAAAATTGAAAATTATATKATATTCAAATTCAGTGTCCATAAATACAGTTTTATTGGAAAATAGCCACCTTTACTCATGTACTGTCTATAATAGCTTTCCTGTTAGCTGTGACAGGCTGGACTGTATAGGCTGCAAAGACTAAATATTTAGTATCTGGCCCTTTACTGGAACGTTTGCCCCTTCCTTACCTGGACTCTCCAGGCCACAGACAGGGAGGCGAGGTGAGGCAGCTATCAGGCAGCAGGCCTTAGAGATGGGCCCCAGGAGAAGAGCTCTGGTCTCCGACTACCTTTGGTCCCCAACCTTTTGGGGACACCACCATAGAGCTGGGAGCCAGGTGGGGCTCCATTCCTCCTTCCTCAACCTGAATAGAAGACCCACCCTCTGAGTTGGCAGAATTTGGAGAGGCCTCTTAAAGGTGGTGGGGGGGGCTCTGACGCTGTGCAGATACGTGSTGGCCCCCCACCAGGTGGGCTTGAGGCCCCTTCTCAGTTCTCTTCTCTTACTTTTTCTGATTTATGAGCAGAAGAGAAAAAGGCTCTTTGTCTCTCCTGCCCCCTCTCATTAACCTCCTCTTAAGAGCTGTCTCCCTCTCATTTCTTCCTCCCCACCTAGGGTCCTTTTTTCAGCTTTGGCCCGGGCTTCCTTTCCTTCCCCTCTCAGGTAGCTAGGCCTCCTCCCTGCACCCCAGTTCCCAGGCCCCCTGTCCCCTGCTCGCCCCGCCCACCCCTCTCTGTCCRCCCGCGCTCCCGCAGCTCACCTGTGCGCTCAGGTGTCCCAGCGACCACTGCCCTCTCTGTCGGCCCCCGCCCGCGGGGCTCCGGGTCGCTGTCAGCAGCTCTGGCGATGGCAGCCCCGTTGCCCAGCCTGGGACTGGGACCCAGCGGCCCTCGGGACCGGGACAGCTCTGGGCCGGGCGAGGAGGGGAAGGTGGAGGGAAAGGGGCGGGGATGCGGGATAACCCCGCCCCCTCACCGCTGGCACTGCACCTGAGGACGCACCCCCTGGCCCCGAGCGACAGAGGAGTCCCCGCTCCCAACACAGCCATCACCTCCTGGGCGGAGGGAGCTTACTTCTCAGTGCGTTCCTTTCCCTTATTCCTTCGCATCTAAACTAACCACCCACCTGATCCAGGCGGGAGGGCTGGAACCGCACGCCACCGCCGCTGGTGCGCCATCTCTTCCCAGCCAGACCCCGCGAGGCGCCAGAGTAATGAGAGATAAATGAGAGGCTGGGCGCCGCTGGTAGAAGGCGACAAGAGTAATGACCGAGTGACTTGTGGCAGGTGCCCACCTCCCTTTTTGGGCGCATTGCGTGGGTGGCTCTCCCACTCCTCCAAGACTATTAACCAGAACAGGGGAAGTGGCCTGCCTACAGGACAGGCATGGGGGCCTAGGGACCCTAGGTGCCCTCACTGTTCTCTGAGTCCAAAGTGTGGCCCTTATCTCTTTGTAGGCCCTGCTGGCCTGTCCAGGCACTCAGGTGGAAGACTGTCTCTGAACTTTGCCTTTGCTACAGACATAGGGTCAGGTGCCAGGCTGAGACCTGACCCAACACTTCTAAGTGTTATCTAAGACTGGGGTGGAAAGAAGAGGGGGACATGGGGGTACCCTCCTTCCTCACTGGGCCTCATGGACCCACTTTGGGCTTCCCAAGGGCCACCCAGCAACTACTGCAGCTGCTAAAATAGACACTGTGGGAGAAACCGCCCTGGCTGGACTGTATGTAAAGGACCACTGTTTCATATCCCCTTGTCATGGCACTTAATCTGTCAGAAGCACTAGATGTTTGAAATCAGAGTTGTCCTGTGGATGTGTGGTCATTATAATCTTATAATCATGAAGCTGAAAGGCCTGTAGTGGGGACTGGGCAGGTCTGAGGTGCTGTCCTGTGATCTCCCTCCTGTCARTGAGCTATACAATGACAGCACCCAATCACTTCTGTTTATAAGATATCCTGAAGTTCATGAAATACTTTCAGAAGTGGAATCTCTCTGAGTTACCAGGGGAAAGGGTCTCCACTCTCTTTTCACATCTAGCATATTAAGCACATCAATARTCAGAATGTTCTAGTCTTCACTGACTGGTGGCTCCATTTAGTCCRGGGGAAGAATTTATCACTAAAGAGTTTCTGATTTTATGTTTTCTGTCCCCAGCCTCAGATTTGCCCTCCAGTGTCCTTTCCCCTTTCCTTACTTGCCTTATTTCTTTCTTTTTGTGGTACTGAGAATTGAACCCAGGCGCACTCTACCACTGAGCTATATCCCCAGCCCTTTTTAGTTTGTTTGAGGCAGGGTCTTGCCTCCAGAGGCTGGCCTCCAGCTTGTGACCCTCTTGCCTCAGCTTCCTGAGTAGCTGGGATTACAGGAGGGTGCCACCATGCTTGGTTCCCAGTGTCCTTTTTTGAGCTTAATGTTGTGATGGCTTTGTACCTCTGTACTTCTAGATCCTCGAATTCTGCCTCCCACCTGCCAGTTAATCAGCAGGACCAGTTTTAGAGGAAGAACTTGGTGGGACAGGAACTGCAGTGGCAAGCCATCAGTGTTTACTGGTTCCTAGCCCCTTTCTCTCCCTACTCACTGTGTGTGTTTTGTGAGAGCTCAACAATAAGAGCAAGAGAGACAGGGATGACAAGAATACCCATGAGGGAGAGAGAGTTAATGGACTAAAAGGTGGTGATTACTGGCAGTATTAAATGACACCCCAGAGACGGCCGGTGCCAAGGGCTCCTAGCCTCTCTTCCCACTCTCCCAAAAGGAGGTAGAAGGAGGAGCAAGAGGGAAATTGAAATTGAGAGGACACCAGAGGCAAGCCTGGGCTTACAATGCTCTGGGGTGAGCTGGTGAGGCTGGCCCAGTGCACCTAGGAAGAATTAACCCTTTCCCTTCCCTCAAGGCTGAAGTCCAGTCTCCACCCAACAGTGCCCCAGGACCTATCTTCAGCCTCCCTGGGAGGAGAAGTTCCCAGGGAAAGCTGGAGTCTAGAAGCCAAGGTGTGGCAGGCACAGGTGTGTGGGCTGGAAGGCAGGGCCTGATGTTCCGCCCTTCCTATTCTGGCCTTGTCTGATTGTCCCTCTCACAACCTCCATTTTTCATAGCCTCTTCTGTGCTATGGAGAAAAAACTTCCATGATGGGCTGAGAGAGGAAGCTGGCTCAGGAAGCTGAATGAGCCCTATTCAACTGAGAGTCAGGAGGTTGGATGCTTGGCTTGTGCAGAGGAGGGCTGGTCCTGGGAGCAAAGCAGACTACGCGGGCACCTGTTTTTTCTCCCTGGTTGCCTTAGACTTTCCTCACATCTCTAGCTTGAACCATACCCTTCTTCATGTCTCAGTTTCTCCTCTAAGGCAGCTATCCCCTACCAGGCACCTAGACTGACCCCCAAAGTTGATGAGAAAGTATCTATCTGTCCAGGGTTGGAGCTCTGAGGATCAAATGCTTTTGTCCAATAGCAGCCTGAGGATAATTTTCTGGGATTGGCATGGAGTGGAGTTTTCAGGGGGGTTCACTGTCAGGAAGCTCACTTGAGCCTTGAGCTCTGCCCAGCCAACACCTCTTGGGGCAGAGACAGGGGCCATCTGAGTTAATGAGATACTAGAAGGCACTCAACATAGGGGGTGTCCTCCCTGATCAACTGCAGACTCGAGCTGGAGACACCAGGTCACATGAGGCAAATACATACCAAGAGGCCAGGCCACTAGCTGCCAGTGCTTAGACCAAAACAGGGGCTCTCTTTTCCTTCTTCTCTCCCTTCCTTCTACCTGTTGACCTATATAAGTTATAGGAATCTAGAGATGAGTAAGAGACAGTTCCAGACCTGTAGAGGATTGCAGACTCATGGGAAAATAGATGGGTGAACAGGATATTGATTTATAAGGTAGACATAGGAGGAATGAACCAGGAGCTATAAAGACACTTTGGAGGAAGCAGGGAAGGCTTCCTGGAGGAGGTAAACTTTGTCCTGGAACTGCAGAGAGGAGTAGGAGTCTGCTGGGCAGAGAAGGCAGGAAAGGCATTTTCGGAGGAGAGAACAGCATGAGAAAAGACATTGGGCTAGAGCATATTAAAAGGAGCCAAGCACTCCTTTCTTTTTTTTTAATATTGAAAAATTTCCATAAGTTCAGTTTGGCATTCCTGGCACATTACTATCACTTTAGCAATTCATTTATGCTTCTTCTGAAGTCTCCTGACCCCTTAGGACAAACCTTATAAATTTTACCTTGCAGGCCAATACTGATGGGTGAGTAGTGATTTCCTGGAATGCTGGRCTAAGCAGAAGTCTGTGAATGATGGCTGCTCATAGAAAGGCCACTAAAGTGGCTTGGCCATGTCCTTCTTGGGGGAGAGAGGGCTCCTCTGTCTTGGGTAAAGATGTTTTCCTTGCATTGAGTTGGAGCTGGGGCACAATGAGAGCATGGGGTCTTTGTCAGTGGTGCTGTGGTGAGCGGAAGAGCCAG